TTCCTTCAAGCCTGGTGAGGTGTTAAAAACTACATATAATTGTATGGTCTTTTCTGGGAGACAACTTTTGTGGGAACCTGAGCTGGTCCTCACACATAGATACGTATCTGAAGAAGATCCATAAGACCAATTTCTGTGCAACTCAAGAAATACAAACTCATAATTTTCTAAACAGTAATGGTCAAGACTGTAACAACTAGACCAGGTGAGATACCGCCAGGCCTGACTTTCCCTCTATCCAAGACCTGTAGGCTAGAACACCAGTATGCTCTCTGTCAACCTTTGTTAATGGATTGACAGATTTTAGCTTTGAAATCAGTGCTACAGGGTGCTAATGACAAAATCTAGCCAAACCCAGAGCTAGTTTCTTTTTCTAGATTGTCTCTCTGAAAAAAAAAAATCATTCTAAATCTAGATAAGTCACTTTTTCTGAAAAGAAGCACATTTGTTATTGAATTAAAGGAGATAAAAGAGACATTTTGCCAATGGAGCAAGACATTTTAGATTTAGAATAAGAAAATACAATTACATTACATGCTGAACTCCCTCCACCCCCTCCCCACACGGTCTGCTCCAGCCACCAGGCAGACAGGAAGCTAAGACTGCCCCTCTCTCTCTCTCTCTGTCTCTCTCTCTCTCCCTCTCTCTCTCTCACACACACCCACACACCTCTCTCTCACACACACACACACACACACACACACACACATACACTGTACCAGAGACTGCACCTTACCTGCACTACCTCAGCCTGGAACAAACTATTGCTGCTGTTTTTATTGCTTTTTATTGTAATGCTTATACGTCATATTTATATTTACCTTACCACTGTTTCCTGTCATGTCCCGCACTTTATGTCAGTTTTTAAATGTCAGTCTTGTATATTTCTTGTATATTTGTATATTGCAGAGAGTAAACGTAATTTCATTTCCCTTGTATGTCTTGTACATATGTAGAAAATGACAATAAAAGCTGACTCGACTTGACTTGACTTATTTCAAGTACATATTATTGAATTATCTTATTTTAGGAGTAAAAATACTCATTCCATTGCCAAACTATCTCATTTACCTACACAAAAAAGGGTAAATGCACTTAATTTAAGAAAAATTAACTTATTTCCAGATCATTTTTCCAGTGTGAACACCTGTCAGCCAGGGTAGTATCATACTTTGATGGAAACAAATCCAACTGTTGCACCTATGCAAATGACCTTTACCCTTTTTATTTGTGAAAATAAAATAAAAGAATGGCTGCATCTACACACTTGTACCCACTGCTCATGTTCCTGTCTTATTTCATTTTATCTATAGATATTTTTTTCTTACGTACCACACATGTTGTTTGGACTGCTTATTAAAACGTGAGCTATGGAAAACAAAAGTTAGATTCCTTGTTTGTAAAAGAAGGGATTCTAATTTTGATTTGTGTAGAATTCATGTAAACTAGTACAGAAAACACAGCCTGAAAAAAGGCTTGATGACATTCAGTAATCTCCTTTGCAAGGAAGACCTGGTAAGATGTTTCCTGCCTAGGATCCCAAAGCTTTTGGCATGCTGCTTAAACGTTCCACTCTAATTGTAATTCCCTTTATTGTCCTACGATGGGGAAATTCACTCTCTGCATTTGACCCATCTCCTTGGGGAGCAGTGGGCTGCCATTGTGTGGCGCCCGGGGAGCAGTGTGAGGTTAAGGGTTTTGCTCAGTAACCCAGAGTGCCGGCAGTGGGGATTGTGCGGTTAATTGGAACCTTCTCAGTGGACAACCGTACTGCTCTAACCACTGGGCCAACACTTCTCAATTGCAGTGAAGAATGGTTCTGCTAAATACTAACTCATACAAAAATGAGTACAAATGAATGATAGAAATGTGCTTTTCAGACTTACAATTTTAAAATACAGATGAAATAAAACAAGTTTCATAATTTCCCTTCCACTGTATAAATATGTGTTACCTTTTGTGGTTCTCTCACATGCAATACCAAGGTAAGACATTAAAGTTGGTGGTGGTAATGTGAGAAAATAGGATTAGGGGTTTTCACTGCACTGTGACATTTAGTTACATTTTAATTTAGCCTTTTGGATTTGAATAATAGTATTATCTAAAGAAACACAATGAGGGCTATGCTTTCTCCAACCTAAAGCCTGGTTTTACCGCAGCCAGGTAGGGTGAGAGTGGTCCTGAAAGATGGTCTGTATAAGCTGAGCTGTGAACCTCTCTACACTGCAAAAACAATCTAGAAATATGTAAAAATTTCTTAAATTCAGTGTATTAACAAATAAAAATGGTAAAGGTCATTCGCATAGGTGCAAAAGTTGGATTTGTTTCCATCAAAGTATAATACTACAGGTTTTCTTGCTGGAAAATGTATCTATAAATAAGTAAAATTATCTTAAATTAAGTGTATTTAGCCTTATTTCCAATGGAATGAGTATTTTTAATCTTAGAATAACATAATAAGATAATATGCGCTTTAAATAAGATGATGCAATTGTTTTTTCTTATTTTAAATGTTCCATTTGCAAAGTGTCTCACTTACCTCCTTAATTCAAGAAAAAATGCACTTATTTAACGAGAAAATTAATTATTTATATTTCATTTTTTGCATTGTATTTCATCATTGCATAAAAAAACACACTTTTTAACATCTAAACTGATTTTAATTGAACCAACACACAGTTTAAGCTAAAGGTACAATCTTTAATATATTACTGAAGGAAAAGGGAATGGATAAGGTCGTATAGTGATAACATTCACTAAAACAGAAACTAATGCTTAGTTTAGCCTGAGCCACATTTACATTGTTGTTGTCTGAGTAATTATACTTCAACTCTTCAGAGATCTCCATCCCATACTTCCTGACCAGAAACACAGGCATACACTTTGATTGATACAAAAGTAGAGCATCACAGTTCTGCTAAATGTGCACACATGCACTCAGAGAAATGAACCAATGCAGAGTTTATTTTTAAGCAAATAAATCTATTAGATTTCAATTAAATACTAACATTTTTACATTTTATTTATTGAAATGACCTATATTCTATATAATTATGTTAACTTTAAAATATATTTAATGTAATTACTTAATACATATTAACACGGTTTAAATAATCAAAGCTGTAAAACAAATATGATTCTTTTAGTTAGAATGTATTTAATTGGTTTACATACAATTTAGAGTAAGTGAAATCGGGAAACAGGAAATTACATCCTTATGTTCCCATCGGACGCCATCTTCATTCCTCAGGTGTGGTGCTTCAGCGTCAATGGTGAGTAATCTTGAGTCATCCTTTTCCTGCTTACATACATTTTATATACATGTATTGTTTGTGCAGTCATATTACATTATTGATTCATTGGTGATTAAATCAACGTGTTTTGAATTTAAGCTGTTTTATCTTTAGGCCTATAAATACTCCTACAAGGAGCTTCATTTCATACAGAACAATACAGGACAGTAAACTACTCCTCATGTTTTGCATGTGTAAATAGAGCACCACATGGGCCCCAATGTACCACACTCATAATTACTTGTTCCTTCTCCATGTGTGTGGTTCGATTTTGAAATGCGCACAGCCTACCTCTTCTTCGTCGTGTGTGGACCTTCTATTGAAAGCCAGGTGGTTCAAAAACACGTTTTGCATAATTTCTTCAACTTTTAATTTGTCACACATGACAGGTTGAGACTGTGGCCATTTCTCAACATGTGTACTTGTGCTTTCTCATGTGCAGGTGTACTCGAAAAACGTCACCAGCCTAAGCCCTAGTACCGCTCCAATTCACAAGAACAGCAGCCCGAGAACAGACAAAGTCCCCAGATATTGTTCTTGCCCCTCCCTCTTTACTGAGTATGCATCAGAGCAGACTTGTCCGTTCTGGAGATTGACAGCAGTCCCATCATGCACCACTGCAGCAGCAGCTTTCAATGGGGCGCTAACAAAGTTCAGAGAATTAAGTTAAAAGTTCTCTTTTCTGTTGCTGTTGTTCAATAAAAGTATGTTTTAAAAGTACATATAATAAAAGTATATATAAGTATATATAATAAAAGTGTAATATAATAAAAGTACGTTCATTAGTGTCCAAAACACATGTTAGTCAAGTGTTGCCTGCATGTCAGAAGTCAGGCGTTTTAAACGACTTGGCTTTCCATATCTTTCTGTGCACTCATGTCAACTTTTGTCACTTTCCAGGCATTACCCATCAGGCATAGCAACCTGCCTGTGATTGGCTACTTTTCAGGAAATCCCGCATCTTGACTTGAAGCGTTACCAAAGTAACCAGTGTAAACTTTCTTCCCGTTTCCAGCTGACGTTTGATCTAGCAGAATCTATAAGGCTGTTTTAGCGTAACTATTTTTTAGGTGTCTTATAACCCGGATACCCTACAGCTAATCAGGATCCAGTATATTTAATGTTATATTTTATGAGTTTGCCTACCAACTTCCAATTCTTAAAATGAAGAGATTGGCCTGAATTTGCTTTAGTAGTAGTAAGGAGAGTACAGCATCAAGAGGCAGGATTTCCTAAAAAGTAGCCAATCACAGACAACTGACTTTATCCGGTGGGTAACTCCTTCAAAGTGACAATAGTTGATGTAGGCGCACAGAAACAGGTCAACATGCAAGTAAGAGAGAATCCATAAGTGCGTAAAACGCAAATCACAGAAAAGCAGCATGCCCTCATTGTTGTGATTTTAGGCCTCATACTATTAAATCTGTGCTCATTCAAAATGTGCATGGATAGCAGTTTACATGTGTTATTTTCAAAATAAACTTTTCGTATATGTTTTTTTTTTACATGTGGACTTTTGGCAGAATTTGGACACAATACGAGACAAAGATTCTTATACTAATACTTACTGTTTTGTGAAATATCATTAAAAAAGCTCATTAATTACTGCTTGTGTCAATAAAAAAGGTAAATATTTTACATTATATGTGCTATTACTTAATATATCTCTGTGATGATAGAGAAAGAATTAAAAATATGAAATAAAGATGTGATAAATATTTGCTTTATTCTTTTGCAATATAAGACTATTCTGTGATATTAAATGAAAAATACAAAGAATAAATACAAAGCAGAGCCTGAAGAGCCAGGAAGCTGTGAAGTTGGATACAACAAAGGATTTTGTCAAACTAAATTTCACTGATTGATCTGTAGTTGGACAGTGGTACTAACTCTAAATGGGACTCTGTTTGTAGCCTTGCACCATCAGGATGGCCAAGATCACTTCTTTTCATCCGACGCCTGGCCGTTGATCAGGCCAGACTCCCAGAGCTGCCACAGAGGAGCCTTCTGACCTCCTGCTCTGTGAACCTTTACCTCCTGCTAAGAGATAAGACAGAAAAAAGACAAGGGTTTAGCTAAGCTGTTCCTTGATCTTTTCAATTTGACATCTGATCTACTGGTTCTTAAGTAAGCAATCTTAAAAAAATAGAATTTGTTTAAAGTCTGTTCTTTTTTACTGCACATGGAAGTAGCACAAAATAAAATTTTAGGATAGAAAAAGAAAAACAGATCAAGAAATTAATGCTCGATTTTGCTTTCAGGTATATTCCAGATGTTTACCTGCCCCTCCCCGGATATTTTCTGGTCCTTTTTAGAAGGTGGTGGCCAAAGTCTCTCCAGTTTGCCCCTAGACTGCTTAACATCTAAAGGAACAATCAAATAAAACATTTAAGACAATATAACTTAAAATTTGTCAAAAAATATACTAAAAGTCTTTACTTGCAATGTTTACGACCTGTTCAGCCCTTTTGAATAACATAATTATTTTTGGGGACAATTTTATAATGGATTTCCTGTTTGTTTTAAAAGTTTATTAATTAATTTGTAACACATAGAACATTTTAAAGACAATAATATGAGATGTTTTTCACATTTTCTTGCTTAGCATTTATTCAGTCCACCTAGAGACGAAGAAGGTTTGAAATATAAGTGCTAGAAAAAAAAGTGCCAGCTTAAACTTTTAAATAATTTAAAGAAAAACATAAAATTTCCTATGAGAGGGGATTAAAATGCACTTTATCTTTATTGGGTGAACACTAATAAATCAAATTATTCTAAAATAACAGATGTTTTTCTCAGTATAATGCATATTAATCAAGCTTTACTTTAAAAAAAAAACAATAACAGGAATCGAGGCAAACACTATTTGCTTGGTTCTTATTTTAGTTCTTTGCGCATAAGAAAATATTGGAACCAGTCAATGGAACTCAATTAAAAAAACTGTTGTGATTCCTTGGGGGTTTATTAGATTTTCAATATATTTTTAGAAACTGACTGGAAAAAAAAATGACTCACAATTTGCAAAATAACGTGTTGTCAGACATCTACTAGGTGGCTATAGGCCTATCGCTTAAAAACAAAGCAAAAAAAACAGAAAAAACTTACCTGTCACTTACCTGTCTCACAACTACAGACTGAGAAAAAGCTAAAGCTTGTTGCTAAAATAATCGCCCTTGACCGTAAGTGACAAGAGGACACCAAGTTTACAGCCATTAGATAACACTAATAGATTGTTAAGGGAAATCCATTTGAGAGCTAAAAGGTTTAAAGATTGGGATGCAGAACAAACACCAATCTGTTTAATTCTTAATTGAGCAAATTAAAACCAATTTTTTTTCTAGTATAACTTTTGCATTGCTAAATGTTTTATTGAAACACATTATGGTGATGCAGACTAACCTGATTTGAGTGTTTTTGTATATCGATGCTTTTCTTCATCATCACTTTTCTGTCTGTCCTCTCCATACAGAGTGCATCGTTGTCTGCGCAGTTCTTCTTCTCTTTCCTTAGCCTCTCGAATGTCCTTCTCTACCTCAGGCTGCAGGGCCATGGCTGGGCGCAATTTGAAGAAGGGGTTTTGTCTGAGAATGGGGGATCCTTGTCTTTCCTTTGTTTTAGCCCTAGTCTCCAAGAAAGAAATGGGCGATTCGCTATTTATCGAGTCCATGCTCCTGTGCAGTCGCAAGTGTTTGTCTTGTATTGAGTAAGGGGATAAGCGGGTTTTGTCGCGAGAACCACCGGTAAGACTCTTTGATCTTACGGTTTCTGGACTTTTTTCTCTTTCAATGGTGGCAGAGTTGCACAGCCTGAGGGAATGTGCTCTTGAGACAGTACAAGTCTTGAGGCAAAATGTCTCAAGGCTACGTGTGCGTTCCAGAACGGACGGATAAACGTGACTTTTTGTTGCTGAAGTAGGGAGCTTCCTATTCCTCGTTGGACCTTCTGTGTTGACCTGTTGGAAAGCCTCAAAGAGAAGTTTTGTCTCCTTCAACCGGCGGGCCTCCCCTTTGCAATACTCCCCGGGAATCTTACCCTGGTTGACCAGCACCAATTCTCTTTGAATATCCTGACTTATTTCTTTCTGCATCTTCTTTTCAGAAAATTGCCACTGACTTGGTTGTATGGTACAAGCCTTTGTAATGAGTGATTCCAGAGAAACATCTGTCTTGAATGGAATTTCTAATACATCTGGATTATCAGCCAGGTTGAAAACACCACCAGCCCTTTGCAAATTTTGTTTAGCTCGGGCTGCTTCCTGGATCTGTTTTTCCATTGAGGTTTCAGCAGCTGAAAAGCGATGTCCAGTAGAAATTAACGGAATTCCACTGGATATATCCCGAGAGGAGTGAAGTGGTAAAGCTGAAGGAAACAAGATTTCACTGTAATAATCCAAACACTCCTCTTCATCTTTTTTGTTAATCTGATTGTCCTCTGGCATTCCTGGCTGTGTCAGGTAGAGAACATGTTCAGTTTGAACATGTTCTCTGCCATTGTTTTCTTTCTCTGAAAGATTTGTCTTCCCCTCCTCCCCCTTTGTTTCACCCTCCTCTTCCTCTTCTTCGGGTGACTCCCTCATTTCTCCAACGCCCTTGTCCTCTATCTCAGAACTAAAGCTACCTTCTTCCTCAGCTTTTGCCAAATTGATAATATCCTGCCTTGTATTCGGGATGTCATCATGTCGTTGTTGCACCATTTGCAGACGCTGAAGCAGCTGCTCTCCATGTTGGATATCAGTAGCAATCCTTCGGTTCTCATCCACCTGTTCAACCTTTTCTTCTGAATCTTTCCTGACATTCAGCTCAGATCTTGTAGGATTGCCCTCCGAAGATCTAATTCCAACATGCTCCAAAGTTTTACCACCCATCTCTGCAGGGAAGCTGTTGGTTCTTTCTTCCATCCTGTTTTTGGAAAATCCACATAGTTCAGATGGCTCCAAAGATTGTGAATCATTGTTTTTATTGCAATCAGGCATTGTGCTTGATAGCTTGAAGTCTCTCTCATCAATGCAAGAAATGTCCTTGTAAGTTTTGTCAAACTCTGTCTCCAGATTTGTCTGATCCTCAGAGATTTCCTTCTCATTTGAACATATTTGTTCTGTAAATTCGCCTCCTTCTGATTCATAGTTCTCTTCTTCTTTACACAGTTTCGGACCACCCAGCTCCTTGTCTGATTCTTCATCTCCTGAAGTGCTATTCTGCTCTGCTTTTCCAGTCTTTTCATAGCATCCCTCCATCAAAAAATCTGAGCCATCTATGGGTGTTTGGTCTTGACAATCTGTTGGAGAACAGAGCATATCATTGGAAAGTAATGTGTTATCTATAAACTCCATTGAGGACTGTGTTGCACTTGTTATCTCTTCGTCCAGCTTGTTCCGTGCTGCCATTAAACACTTCTCACCATGGTGCCTGTCTAAGCTCCAGGGATTAGTGTTAGCTTTTGTGGCGTCAGCTGCTTCACTTGGTAGGGTCATGCCAGAATCAGATTTTGCATATGTGCTTCCCTCTGTTGGTGACAAAAGAGCCTTGCAGGGCAGAGGCAAAGAGGGCTGGATAAACACATCATCTGGCCCTTCATCATCCATCAAGTTGTAGTAACTTTTGATCTGTGCAGCAGCAGTAACAGCAAATCCATCTTGTGAATTCTTAAAGGTTTCTGAGGAATTCTCTGTATGGTCTGTCATGTCTTCAGAGTCCCTTTTCAAACACAGACCACCATGCTGGGGGAGAGAGTTTGAGCAGCTGAGTTTTATCTTTTAGTGATAATTCAGAGTGGGCTGATCAGTTATTGATCAGTTCTTCCCTTTGTAGGTCATTTAAGCTTCAAGAAAAGACCAACAGAAAGTGTTACTAAGGTCAACAAATCAATCCAAGGCAACAGTTTACTTAAAACAGTATCCTTAAGAAATACATCTATAACTAGATATATCTGTTTTCTTACTGTTTGACATTATTTCAGTCAAAACATTTCATTTTTTTAGGTGAGTTAAGATTATTTATAACACCTGTACCCCAGTATGAGCTTAATTTGAGATGTATTACTTAAACCTTTTATGTCAATATTCAGCATTTGGTGTGTATCAATGCTATTTGGGGGCTAATCTTTAAAGTGAAATCCATCATTGAATTAGTCAATGACCCTTACCATATTAGACATATTTTTGGTTCTCTGATGTAGGATTTAATCTAGAGGGGGGATGTAGCCTTGAATTTACAAATACATTCAAAACTTCCCAATGTGCTGGTCTAAAGTAGGCTGCTATTAAATGCTATTATATATAAATATATACATAAATAAACAAAAATAACCTGCCAGTCCTACCGGGCCATAACCAGGAAAAACATTTGTCTCAATCAGTATCTATTAAACAAGCAATACCTAGTTTAAGGTGCATATAATAAAAAGAGATCCATCATCTGTTACTCATTCTGGTTCAGCTTCAGGGCTGCTTCGATGACGCTGTAGCCACCACTGTGTCCTAGTCCTCTAAGTTGTGCTGATAAAGGAAAAGAGTAATCGGCTTTCCTCCGTCTGTTTGAACAGAGGAAAGCTGTGTGTTCAATGTCTGCCTGACTGGCTCGCCACTCAGGCTCTTGGATTAGCTTTGTTGATTCATTTTAGTGGAGCAAGTAAATGGACGCAGTGGCAGCCGATCTAATGACACACATTTTCACATTGACACATTATGAATCATTGTACATCTTCTCTCACTGCCTGTTTTTATTAGATCTTAAATCACGCTGGTGTCCCAGGACATATATGGTTTCCAAAGGTGCAGATTATAACCAGTTGGTCTATATTTACACCTGCATTCAAGGATTTAAGACCAGCAACACACTGGATTATCTGCAGTAGTGCCTTCTCATAGCACACCAAGCTCTACCAGCACAACATTAATGCACTTTAACGAGCTTAACTTGTTTAGTACGCTTTACCTTTAAGGAACATTTAGATGAGATTTTATGAAGCCTTTGTGGATGTAATTTAAACAATTAGATTTCAGGAACTGTTTTGATTTCAACACTTAGCATTTCAGAAATGATGTGTGTTTATTTCAACATGTTACGAGGTGAATAGAATATAATCACTTTTGAGTGAGAGAACAGACATACGTAAATAAATAAAAAAAATTATTGATTACCGGTAATTAATGATCAAATGGAAAAGACGGAAGGGAACAAACAAAATGTTGATGCAAAAGGAAAAACTCACATAATCAGAAATTAGATATTTAAATTATTCAGAGTCAGGAGAATAAAAATGGTGCATTTCTAAAGCCTCGCAATGATTAAACCAGAATATTAATTCCTACATTGTAAACCCAAATTCCTGAAAGTCTTGATTCTCAAATATTACTTAATGTTTATGGTGAGCTAAACTGTTTTGGAGCTGGTCATGATCAAATAGAAACCCACACTAATATATGCACATAAACTATCGGTTCTGATTTAGCTTGAAAAAAAAAAGTGTTTAATGCCTTAATAATTATACATAATACAACTTTTAGCATGGTTTCATCAAAGGCTACACCATCAAACTCAGGCCTTTGTTTTTGACATAAAAAGCAAGCATAACATACAAATCAAGACATAAAATATTATACATTAAGTACATTTTAAAGAAAGAGACCCACCTCAGAGAGCTGCGGTCATCGCCTGTCTGTGGTAGGACTTACCACGATGGAAATATGAATGGTCAAGCTTATCTTCTTAGCAGCTGTAACCTCTTGTCCTCTGTACCATGTGCACAAACAAAATCCTCTTCTTTGAGAGGCAGATCAATTAAAACAACCAAAGAAAGAGAAAAGTTTATGATCTACAATTGTGCTTCTTTAAAATTTAAAAAAATTAAAAAGATTTTAGTTTGAATGTGTGTGTATATGTGTTTTGTAGGTTTATGTCATAGTTTATGTTTTATGTTGAGCTCTTTGATGTTCATAATGGCTCTTATAAATATTGATTCATTTTACGGTTTGTGTTTCACTTGCCATAAAAAAAAACAGAGCTTTGAAAGAAATTCAAGCCCCAAAAAAGCTGCAGTAATGAACAAGAAGTTCAGTCACATCAAACATCATTATAACATTTAAAACCATAACATCAAATAATTAAAATACAAAAAAAAGAAAGAAAAAAAAAAAAAAAGTTATTTGAAAAAAGAAAATATAAATATAAAATTTTGAATTTGTTTTTAAGTAAGATCATTAACTAAAGTTTCATTTCTGGATTTTATATTTTTATAACAAATTCCTCTTAACAAAATGCGCTCCTTGCTTCGCTCCAAAGTTTAATATACTGTACACCTGTATGAAATCAGTTATAAAAATCAGGCTTCTTGGTGCCATTTTGAACATTAAATTATTTGTTTTTCAGCCAGAGAATATAGAGGGTTAGGATGTGCTCCATTTGATAGTGGCATCACCCATCATGGATCCCGTCTTTAAAACGTGTCTCCTCCTGTCATGAATTTAAGACATTTGTCTTCATTTTTGAGCATCTGGCTCCTAAAATGATCACCAAAGACAATCTAGATTGGTTGCATTAGTATCTAGGAAGCTGTTCACATAAAAGTTGAAGGTTCTATGACTTGTTATCCTTATATGGTTATTCTAAATTTATTATGCAATACAGCAGCAAGGATTAAAAAATGGACCAAACTAATAAGGGATTATTTAGCCTTGTCTTTATCTGTAAAAATCAAACTTACCTTAGCAGCTACTTAGCTGCATTTGATAAAAAAGGTTAGCAGTTTAAACAAGCTTGTCTCAGTGTGGTTTGAAAAAGGCTTTCAACTCTTCTGAGCAGCAGCACTAAGGCTTAATATGAAGTTCACATTTACATCATGTTCTTTATTTGTCCTATATTTATTGAATAATATGCTGCCATCAAAAGTTAGTTACAAGGTGTTCTTTTATAAAACAAAATAAACAATATAGGACCTGTTAACTAGTTTTATTGAAAAGATCAATGCAGTCCAACAAAGAGACAGAGTCAAAGTCAACCACATATTTTTCAATATCCTTCTCATTCCTGACTTTGCATATTTCTTACTCCTTTATGTGGACTGTTGTTTATATTATGTCATAGAGCCGTCCTTCATCCTGAACAAGCACATTAATATTACATTGTTTTCAGAATTTGTTTTCTCTGTAGTGAGATCAGTTCTAAAGCATCAACTGATTCTGGAAATGTCAGTTATTTTGTCCTTAAGAAAAATATCTTACTTTTAGATTGTAATGTCCCAAAAAATTAAAACATGAAATAGGATACAGTTAGCAACATCCAAGTGTTGCATTTGATTTGCAGCTGAGGCAACATATCTTTGAGTATATGTTTGTAAAAAGGCAGGAAAAAATGCTATGCTCACCAGGAGGGGGAGACAGAGATACACCTTTAAAAGGTAAAGAGTAGCTTTTATATATATATATATATATATATATATATATATATATATATATATATATATATATATATATATATATATATATATATATATATATATATATATATATAATGTTGGACATAAAACAAAAGTACTGTAGTAATGGTGCATAAATAACAAAGTAATAACCACAAATTTACAATCAAAATTATTAGTTGAAGATTTTTTTTTATTATAAAATATAGATACTTTAAGACAGACAGAGAGACATAGATAGATAGATGATAGATAGATAGATAGATAGATAGATAGATAGATAGATAGATAGATAGATAGATAGATAGATAGATAGATAGATAGATAGATAGATAGATAGATAGATAGATAGATAGATAGATAGATAGATAGATAGAATGTATGTATAAACACTAAATGGTGATATCTTAATAAGGAGGTTTACATTCAAATTTATTGAAATTACATATTTTACAGGAAAAACGCTTGAACTCAGGAGTACACCAAAGTAAGTCAAAAGATTTTAGCTTGAGCTCAAAGAAGCTGCCGTCATATATAACCCCATAAAGCCTGAACCATGAATTAATTGTTAGAAAATTATGTTGTTCAACTAGCCTTCATAGAACATTTTGACAAAAAAAAAATTAAAATCTATTTTTATTTTGACATTCTAAATGAAATGTTATCTAATGCAACTAAAATACAGGTGATTTAGTGTTCAGTTTTTGAAATAATCAAAAACTCTAATCCAAAGAATTAAAAGTTAGCTGTGATCATCTACGGAGGTCAAGTGTTGAAAACGCCCTGCAGATGCATGAATGCCAGAAAATAAAAAAAGTACAGCAATAAAATGCTGCAAGTAGTAAAAACAGCTGCAATTTAAGAAAGGCTGCAAATACTTACAGATAACAGAAGAGCTCTAGACCACTAGCAGGACGCAATCGTAGACTCATATGGATCCAAACGCTAGACCTAAACTGGTTGCTCAAAGGGGCAAAGAAATAAAAAAATAGTTTGAAAGCAAAATCTTTCTCTTCTTTTTGTCCTCCAAATGTAATCTATCTGTGTATTCCATTTATACACTGCAAAAAATAGAAATCACAATAAGTTATTTTTTCTTAAAATAAGTGTGTTTTTCCTTGATTTGAGGAGGTAAGTAAGACACTTTGCCAATGGAACAAGACAATTTCCTTTTAAAATAAGAAAAAACAATTGTATCTTCTTATTTCAAGTAAATATTATCTAACTATCTTATTTTAAGAGTGAAAATACTCATTCCATTGGCAAATCATCTTATTTACCTGCTCAAATTAAGGCTAAATATACTTAATTTAAGCAATTTTTTACTTATTTCTGGATTGTTTTTGCAGTGTACCCCCTCTAACGGTCTGGGCCTAAGAGTTAGTGATGATCTCTCCTTGGGGGCTGAAGCATATCGTTTATAAGATGCTATAGCAGGTTTTCTAAGCTTGCTTTTGATTTATCTAATTGCAATCTTTTTTCTTTTGAATCTGTTTTGTGTGTTAGGGATTGCTTTCAAGTCAGTGAGTCGATGCAATCAACTGGTTTTCCTTAGATAGAAAACTTTGAACCAATCTGACTGCATGACCTGGTTGTATTGTGCCTGCAAAGCACATTGAAATGACATGTGTTGTGAATTTATGCTATATAAATACAGCACATTTAATTAAAGTTATATTTTTTGCTTGCTAGTCTCCTTTTTGTCTTTATAGTAGGGGAGAGTGGGAACAGCTGCAACATGGGAGATTGCAACTAGTCTGCTTCCTTAAACCAGAAACTGCCATATTGATGATATAGATACACCACATGCTCATGTGGTGTATTTTTGTCATACTGTCCCGCCCCTTTGTATGAATTAATTGAAACTAAGTTAGATTTATTCAATGTTTAGTTTACATGGTTAGCAATATCTCTGTGTTGAGTCGAGCTAGCATATGGTGCACTTTAATATGCAAAATCTTGGGGACGGTTGCAGCACTTGGGGGAGGGAGGGAGTTGTTAGATTACTATTATTTGATTAAAACAAATTATATATATGTATATTTATTGGAATATCATAAGTTGTGTTTTCTCATGTTAATATTTGGATGATACAAGTACTATTTAGAAGTTAGAAAATATCATTGCTTTACTTTGGGATGTTGTGTCCAAAGTTGCAAGGTAGTTTTTAATTAAGTTCTATCAGCATCACGAATATGCATAATAATAAGATCATTGAAAAAAAAAAAAAAAAGTTGAATCTGTGATATTGAAAGGATTTATGATACATTTATACCATCCCAGGAATGGGGACAGTTGAAAAAGGCTGACTTTTAAAAAATGAATATTGTGAAAAATCTGTTGCATACGTTTATATGCAAATGTTATTGGTAACAAGCAGACAGATATAAGTTTGAAATGTAAGTTAATGGTTGGTGTAGGCCACCAGGGGTAATTGGGAGAAACATGAAGTAATTGAACAATTGGCGCCAGTCTCGCCTGCTTTTTGCATTTGGTTATCATTTATGTATTTGCAGTACACTTGCACTCCTCAGCAACAGTTTTCACAACCAGGAGCAACAAAAAAACTTTTTAAAATGAGGCTCTGGATGAGATATTATTAGTGGGATTGTAGTAAGAGCATATTTGGCCCACAGTGGAAGATATTTACCTCTGATTTTTAATAGAGCTGCATTTTTTAATATTATAATACCAATATTCTATAAAGAGATATTTACAGCAGGCCACTGCTCCCCAATGGGATGGAGTAAATTTTTCCAATGTGAGATCAATACAGTTTATTTAATACGTCTGCATACAAAGACTTACCATATAAGATAGATTTAGTTAATATGGATCATTGTCTAAAGTAAAAAAAAAAATGTGTTCAATTACAGCAAATATGTGCTTAAGGCTGTAAAGTGTATTTTACTAGTTAGATTTCACATGACAGAGCAACACTTGCACTTCTTCCTCTTCTTTGCCTCATTCCCAACACTGCTTTCTCTCTGGGTTTCAGGTTGTGCCTCATCATCATCATCCAGTGGAACATCTTGAAGGGTTTTGTCTTGAGGCTTTTCCTCCGTCTGTTCTTCTCTTTCCTTTGTTGAGGCCGACTGAATTGGAGCAGAATTCCCTGGCTCTACTACATATTCCTCTCCATCCTCAGTAATAATCACATGCTCTGCGGTGAGCATGCCTTCGTAGTCCTCTTGGTTTTGAACATCCTCAGGTGTTCCGTCAGTGTAACCCATGAACACCAGTGTGACTGGACCTTCCTCCAAGCTTTTACCTTCCAAGTTTTCCAGAATTTCTTCAGTGTCTTTAGTTTCATGATCCATATTTCTAACAGTAAAACTCTGCGTCATCCTCTCTGCTTCCATTTTGTTTTCAGAGTTATCTAACTGTGGAACGTTTTCTTTTGATGTACCATTAGGAGTGATAAAACTCAGGCTGTTATCGTCTTGTTTGTTTCTGCTTTCTATATTCCCAGCGGTCACCTCTGGCTTGTTCGGTGTTACCGTTACTTCATCAAGCAGCACCGTCATCCCGACATCATTGATGACACTCAGTATCTCACCAAGCTCTTTGGTGGAAGGTTCACCTTCCAATCTGCCAACCGTGTGGATGCTTTTCCTTCCATCATCAAAGATGGTCGTGGATGTTGGAGCAGCAGGAGCTGAGGAGATTGGGGCTACCGATTTAACAATGGTGGCGCCCGTCTTGGGGTCTCGCTCCACCTGGATGGCTAACATCCCAAGGACTGCAAAGACAGAAAAAAAAAACTATGTTCACTGAATTTTAGGACATAGAGAAACTCAGAACACATGCAGATATATAATTGGCAGGTAGGCCAGCATTAAGCAGGTTAAAATCATTAGAGATAAGTTTTTCTCCTTTTTCAAACCTTTTTCTGATCTTTTATATATATATATATATATATATATATATATATATATATATATATATATATATATATATATATATATATATACACTCACCGGCCACTTTATTAGGTACCCCATGCTAGTAACGGGTTGGACCCCCTTTTGCCTTCAGAACTGCCACAATTCTTGGTGGCATAGATTCAACATGGTGCTGGAAGCATTCCTCAGGGAGTTTGGTCCATATTGACATGATGGCATCACACAGTTGCCGCAGATTTGTCGGCTGCACATCCATGATGCGAATCTCCCGTTCCACCACATCCCAAAGATGCTCTATTGGATTGAGATCTGGTGACTGTGGAGACCATTTGAGTACAGTGAACTCATTGTCATGTTCAAGAAACCAGTCTGAGATGATTCCAGCTTTATGACATGGTGCATTATCCTGCTGAAAGTAGCCAACAGAAGTTGGGTACATTATGGTCATAAAGGGATGGACATGGTCAGCAACAATACTCAGGTAGGCTGTGGCGTTGCACCGATGCTCAATTGGTACCAAGGGGCCCAAAGAGTGCCAAGAAAATATTCCCCACACCATGACACCACCACCACCAGCCTGAACCGTTGATACAAGGCAGGATGGATCCATGCTTTCATGTTGTAGACGCCAAATTCTGACCCTACCATCCGAATGTCGCAGCAGAAATCGAGACTCATCAGACCAGGCAACGTTTTTCCAATCTTCTATTGTCCAATTTCGATGAGCTTGTGCAAATTGTAGCCTCAGTTTCCTGTTCTTTGCTGAAAGGAGTGGCACCCGGTGTGGTCTTCTGCTGCTGTAGCCCATTTGCCTCAAAGTTCGACGTACTGTGCGTTCAGAGATGCTCTTCTGCCCACCTTGGTTGTAACGGGTGGTTATTTGAGTCACTGTTGCCCTTCTATCAGCTGGAACCAGTCTGGCCATTCTCCTCTGACCTCTGGCATCAACAAGGCATTTCCGCCCACAGAACTGCCGCTCACTGGATGTTTTTTCTTTTTCGGACCATTCTCTGTAAACCCTAGAGATGGTTGTGCGTGAAAATCCCAGTAGATCAGCAGTTTCTGAAATACTCAGACCAGCCCTTCTGGCACCAACAATCATGCCACGTTCAAAGTCACTCAAATCTCCTTTCTTCCCCATACTGATGCTCGGTTTGAACTGCAGGAGATTGTCTTGACCATGTTTACATGCCTAAATGCACTGAGTTGCCGCCATGTGATTGGCTGCTTAGAAAAGAAGTGTTAACGAGCAGTTGGACAGGTGTACCTAATAAAGTGGCCGGTGAGTGTATATATACATATATATGTATATGTACCCTGTCTTATATATTTACACAGTTAAACCAAATAAAAATAGTAACTGAACTTAATTATTGTTTATAAAACAAAATATCTAAATAATCTGCAAAGAGACCATCCCTCCTGTTGCGCATCTCTTCACATTGCAATCGGTATTTTTTTTTCTTACCAGGTTTTATAAAATATATCGGCACATGAAACACGCATATGTTGCATTTTCTTTTACTTTTGTTCATGGAACTATTAGTTAGGCTATGAGGTGGACAATGAATATTATTTTATGTGATCATTATTTAGTGTTTTTCAATAACTCTCATTATTATCTCCATCTCCATGGCTTTGAACCTCATCTTTTACGTACAATGACTCTTAAACGGAACAAATCTGCTCATAATGGGCAGAAACAAATAAGTTTGCACATTATAACATTTCCACAGGAATCTTTGTTTTTGATCACCTGCAAAATGTCCCATTATTTTACGTACTAAAAAAAAAACATTGCATGTTTTAAATTTTTTAAAAATCAGGCCCTAAGTTCATTAAAATCAAACTTAAAATCATTTGTTAAGAGTTGCTTTGACTGTTCTATTTACATTAGTTTAAGTTTGTAATCCAACTTTTATGTACCTGCCTTTATTATTCCATCATAATGTAATTTTCCTATATACCTTTTTAATAGACAGCACTTTACATTGTTGATGTTCACTAAAATGTTCTATACAAAAAAATTGCCTTGCTTTGCTTATGCTGTTACATGGATGTCAGCTTCATTGAAAGGTGATCAAAGCTAAGGTTAATTTGATGTGGGGGCTTTGTGCAGCTGCTTTGTTGCAGCACAATGGTAAAAACAGAGCCCAATGTAGTAAATCCAGCTTTTTTTTCTTTTTCTTAAACACAGGCCTCCAGCAGCCATAAAAGATATGAACATAGACAAACAACAAACGGCTTAAAACAACATTGTTCTCAGACTGCTTACTGGAGCCTCATCCTTAAGTTGTTCCCCAGGGGCTTAATTTTGTTCCAAAAACATTAAACAAACACAACATCTTTTGTTGCAGAAAAGGAGGCAAAGAAAACTAAACAACACATATATCTTTATTTCTTTTTATTTAAATCTTTTTTTTTTTTTTTTTTTTTTATATATATTTTTTCTTACCGGATCGTCCATCTTGTCCACTGTCTTCATGAGACATCCTCTGTGCCATTTGATTGGATAAGAGATTTACGCCTGTCAGTGAAAAAGAAAGCATGTCAGCAGGAATAATTTTCTTGAAAACCTTCCTTGGATAATCAATATACTGTCTTTGCAATGAATCAAAAATAAATAAATAAATAAATAAAAAATTTGAATATCTTTTGTTGCACATTCTACCAAGAAAAAACCTAAAGATTTCACAGCAGATGGGATATTAAATAAAAAAAGAAGTCCAGGATAAACACAATCATGTTTCAATGAGTATATGTATTTTTTCTAAAGTACATTTTTGCATAATGATCTATGATAGCTTTAGGCTTTGATAAAAAACTGGTGGATTTGTTTCTTAATATTAGGCTGCAAAAACCATCTTGAACATTTCTTAGAATAAGTCTATTCCCCCTTAAATTGAGAAGGTAAATAAGATGATTTGCCAATGTAATTAGCATTTTTAGTCTTAATATAAGATATTTAGATATGATGTACTTGAAATAAAACAATGCAATTGTTTTTCTTATTTTAAATGTGAATTGTCTTGTTCCATCGGCAAAATATGTTAACTACCTCCTAAATTCAAGAAAAAACAACTAATTTAGATGGAAATTTTTTGCATTGTAGGCAATAATGAGAATATTAACAAATATTAAGAGCCTGATTTTTAAAGATTCCAAATAAGGGAATCTTAATTAATTTATTTAACTGCATGTTCAATAATTGTTTTGTGCATCCAATAATGTGTGGGGGATGATTTACAAAGATCTCTGTGTAAATGTTAAGACGTGCAAACCCCCAATTAAAATGAGCCTCTCATGTGATAGTTGGAGAGCGGTTGTAAAAGAAAGCTGAGGTTCTTAGCTAGATGGTTAGAGGTAATAATTATAACAATTACTTAAAAAAGCATGAATGATGGTGCAAATTTTATTCATAGTGTATTTTACATAGGAAGCCAATCTCAGAGTTCAACAAACAAAAGTGAAAAAATAAAGATAAAAGAATGAGAAATAAAATATCCTAAAAAATTAGAAATTTGGTCCTTTCTTTAAGTCGCTTTTAAAAAGACATCTGCTTAGGCTTTGCTTCTACTGTGAGTTGTTGCTATTGTCGTAGTCCTCTGTGATTTATTGTGATGTTATCTCCTATTGTTTTATTGTTGTTGGGATCCTTAGGCTTGCCCACCAGAGGGCGCCGAGGAGCCTCTTCTGTTATTTGTTTTCTGTTAGGAACTGGAGTTACTGTTGGGATCTGGAGATCTACCATCTGTCTCCAGCAGAGAGCGCTGTGGGTCTCCTGGGCTGGAGCCTCCAGCACACCTGAAGCTCATCAACCCATCAGGAGACCTTCCTACATAAGCAGCAGTCAGACCTTCCTTCGACGCCAGAGTGTTGACCAAGTTTGGTTAGCAAAACCTAAGCCTCTGTTAATCTAGTGAATCCCAGTAGACTCTAGAGAGAAACTGGATTCTAACCTGCCTCTGTCTTCTTTACTCATGGAAAGCCTGACTGAAGTCTGAAGCTCTGGATGAGCTTTACCTGGAAACCTGCCTGCCTGCCCAAGTAAGCTAAACCTAAAGATTTCACTCTGGATTCCTCCTTCAGCTCTCAGGGAAAAGCTAGGAAGCTAAACCCAAGTCTGAGACTCTCTTGCCAGAAGCTAGACGCTGCTGCTGCCGAGTTCTCTGCTACTTCCACATTCTCTGGACCCAACCGGTTTCCCCTCTCAAGGATCTGTCAGAACCTCTTCAAGGTATAATCAGAATTCAACTTATTTCGTCAAGCCATCTAACTGCCTGGCTAACCAAACTCTCATCTCTTCAGATATCAGTGAAACCAGTCCCGGACCTGCACCAGAACCAGTCCTCCTCAACTCTGTGTGTTGTCCTAAATAAAGATTGTTAAATTTTCCTCTGTCTCCAGTTTGGTGTTCTGCATGTGGGTTAAGTCCATTGATCCAATCATGACAATTGTGTGTTTTTTGTCCATCTTATTTTTAGTTTAGCCCTTTGATGACAGTTTTTATTAAATAGTTATTTTTTAATAAAATGGAAATTGATTTGAAATGTCTTAACTCTTGAAATACAACGATTGATTGATTGACTTTATTGATCTCATAGTGAAGAACTTTAGTGGTTACATCAGCTCAAATAGTTAAAGGAGAAGAAGAATGTGCAAAAGGAAGAAAAGGTGCAAGGGATATATACAGCATATGCATATGTGACAGCTTTTTGTTTTTTATATAGTAGGATTATTACTATTATCTGACCCCTAGATGCCCTCCTGAACAGCTTGCCTACCTATAAATAGATGAAAACGTGACAAAAATGTTTCAAATAACTCCTTGTAACAGCTGAGATCCTGTTCTTTGGAGAGACAATTACAGAGAGGAGAGCGGCTGTCTCAAAGTCGGGCTGTTTATTTTTCATGGCTTTGCTCTGTCACTTTAGTTTATATCCTTTTCCTCCTAATACAAGGCCTTAGGAATGGTTAAGTATCCTCAAGAAAACAAACAACAAACTTTAGACAGGCAATAATGAAACCAACAGAGTGGAGGAAAAAGCTGACTTTAAGCTAATGACCAATACTTCCAACCTTCTCACTGTTTGCTTCAAAGCAAAGAAAGATTTTTAGGGGCTACTTATGCTCATATACTTTAAATAGACACTGACCCCTAAACATGACCCCCCCCCCCTCATCCCATCCCATTTTAGGAGCCAACATTATGGGTGTGGCCTGTAATTTCAGTCATCTACAAACAAATAGCAGCAAATAATTAGATTCATCATCTCAACAGGCGCTGTGGTTGTTTTTACACAACAAATATTTTAGCAGAGCAGTCGGCTGCCAAGAAGGATCAAGATACCGACTTCTTTGACTTTAAAAAAAAGAAACAAACCACGGTGCCCCCATGTAATGCTATTGTGCGTTTTATAATGTCATGGTATGTCTCATATTTCAATCATTTATTAGCTTACCTAATATATGTGCATTTAAAGTAACATTTAATTGTCTAATTTATTATCTTAAATTAATTTTTAATTATATAAAAAGGAAAATTCTATTATTCAGATGTGCATTTTATTATTTCATTGTATATTTAATATTTAAACTGTTTTTTTTTAATAAATAAATGCTACATATATCTATTACATGGGTATCTCTTTCATAGGATGTTTATATGTAATCACAATGATTGTGAAAACCATCTTGTGATCTACTTGATGTCTTGGACTTTAGGAACCCTTGTGATACATAACTGCACGCTTTTAATAACCATACAATGAAGGGATGCATCTCTCAATATTAGCTTTGTGTATAGTATTGTTGTGTTACCAATGTAACACAATAAAAGGCACTGTTTTATGATAAAAACCTTAGAATAAAGCTGCAACTGTAGATAATTTAAATCCATAAATTCATTTAAACAGCACCCATGTATAACGTGTGTGGCTTTATTGTCTGATCTTGGTGCTGATGACTGTCTTGATTGTTCATTTAATTCATCTGTTTAGCTCTGCCCAGTTTTTCATCACCGTTAATCTGTGTCAACTGCTCCACTCTATATTCAATGTGCGTGATCCCAGTCACCAGTGCTAGATTATTCGAGCCTTTGGGGAGATTTCTAGTGTACCTGATTGTGTTCTGATTTCCTGATCCTGATCCGTTCTGCCTTTGGACCTCTGAGCCTATCTTTTCCTGTTCTGATCTGTTGGCCTGGCCTGTCTTCTGACTCCTGCTAGATTCTGCCTGTTGACTGAACCTTCATCTGCCTCCTAACACCGACTTGGATTTCCCTTTTTAACCCCTTCAGATCTCTGATCTTCTGGCTCTGACTCCTTTGAACCTCTTTGACACCGGCTTTGGCTTTGCCTTCTGGATCGTCCTGCCTTCTTTAATCTGCTTGGATCGGAACTCCTGCCTGTTCGGCAGTCTTCAAGGTTTCATCAGCTGGGACTCCCTGGACAGCATTCGCCACGTGGCGTTGTCAGCATTTTGGCTGGTAGCCACCTCTGGGTACAGACTGAACCTGAAGAGGTTCCTGCTTTAGACACCCTTGCAGTCACTGCAGATCCACCATTTTTTAATAAAAGCATTTTTGAGAAATCTGTCTGTCTGCCTTGATTACCAGGTCCTCTAGCGTTAACATTTATATCTAGGGTGTCATTAAAAGCTGCTATGTCTTTAGTGATTTATGTGGGATTTATAGATGTTGTGCATATTCATTTCTTGTTGGTTCATTGTGTTCATTCTAGCTTCAGCCTCAAATGTTTTTGCTGCTATCAGTTTTCAGCCACCCTTTAGTCCACATTGGTCTCTGCTCGACCAACCCATGCAAATGTTCTTTAACCAATATTGAAATTATAGCTATTACCAAACTTAGGGACAGATGTGCGTTGAGACGTTTTTCCTGCACATAATTAACGACTTACAGAAACATCAGCATCATTAATGCAAATGTCAGCTGCCTGCTGGTCCCTGCTAGCCTGGCCAGCCAGACTGATAATGACAGGTACAGGGGAGTATCTGTCTGGTGAAGAGCTATTAGAGCTCTATTTCAAAGGTGGGGTTAGCATCCTTCTCTGGTTAGAACAAATCAGATAACTACAAATGTGATGCAAAAACTCCAAGTGATGCACTCTATTTGTGAATAATATCCTAACAAACTGAGGATTTAAGGGTTGCTCTCTATTACGTCCTTAATTTTCATTGTAACATTTATCCATTGTGGTTGGCAGTTTGTTGTTATGCTAGAAGAAAAGCGCTGCTGCATTCTTGGTAATTCTTGCACCGAATCGGTCTGACCAGATCTGAACGAAGTCAATGGCAGTTTACCCGGTCCGCCAAGGACTTGTTGTTGCTGCTTTAGATTGTGAGTAATCTAATGCTGTTAGGAATATGTGAAAAGAAACCGGCTAGATCCCTTTTCTAATGAACAGCCATCAATATTACTCTACTAACGCCATTATTATGTAACTCCATTATTCCCAACACTGGTTGTAAGGAAACTGTTTCATTAACTGAGAATTTAAGTTTCCCGCT